AAGAATGCGGGTAACCAGCTTCAGCCCCTGAACCAGCCTTGCCAACATCGCCCAAGTAGTTTTGCCAGTGCTCACTCAGAAGTGAATGAAGCTTCCTTCAGGAGAGCAGGGTGATGAGCTCTGACAGGACTGAGTTCTTATGGAGTCTCCTCATGCTTTACAAGGGCAGAACCCTGAATCACTAATGACTGAGAACATTACACAAGAAAATGTCTTGTTTCATAGGCTAGGACCCCTGTTACGCTCTTCATTATTCAGGAGTTGGAACTATAGGCCTTCAGAAATGAAAAGACGTTAGGATCCTGTATTCTCAGCGCTCACTGTCAAGAAGCCCAGGGCACAGTTTTGTGTTTCCCTTATGATTAGATTCCACCTCCACAGTTAGACACAGAGCAAGGGGGGAAAAAAAGATTAAAAATCATTCATAACTGAAAAATGAGGAGACCTGACTTACTTAGAAATTCTATGATTTCCCTGAGATGAGGGAGAGATGCGGTGAAGGTCAGTGGCCAGGCCAGGTGTCCTAGTGGGACTCAGATCTCCCTAAGTGTCCACTGGTTCTCACAGCATGCATGCATGCTGTCACTTCAGTCGTGTCTGACTCTTGCGACGCCATGAACTGTAGCCCACCAGACTCCTCTGTCCATGGGATTCTCCAAGTAAAAATACTGAGGTGGGTTGCCATGCCCTTCTCCAGGGCATATTCCTGACCCAGGGATCGAACCTGGGTCTCCTGCATTGGCAGGCAGGTTCTTTACCATTAGTGCCCCCTGGGAAGCCTAAGAGCTACCCTAAATTCATAGTTTAAGAGAATAGAAAGCTTACTAAACGCCTTCAGGAAAGCTTCTTAGTCCACTGCTGCTACCAACTGGGTTGCTACTCATAAGCAAAATAATTAGGAGAGGCCACTTCTGGGGCAATGTGCACTTTCCTTCATAGGAGGTGAAGGAATGGAAACCACATTGACCCCCTCCCCACCTTCCATCCTCCTTCCTCTGGAGTGCTTGCTTTAAGTTAGCTAAAAGTCAAACACTATGTTCTTTCTTTAGGAAAATAAATGGAGAATTCGTATGCTACTAGTTAGGAAGTATAGAGTAAATGTTGGTCTATTTCAGTCTAGTAATCAATTGATAGGCATTTTTAAATGTTGAATCAGGTATCTAGGAAGGTGTTTTAGGGATTCCTTAAATGTTTGGGGTTTCATTTCTAAATTATATTTTTACGTTAAAAGGAAAAAAATAGAATAACTTGCTGTCACATTTGAATGTGTCACCTATCTAAATACTTAGGATAATGGAAACTTCTCGTGTGTTAGCTCAGTCTGCAGCTTGCCATGTTAATTCACTCTAATCCAGACCAGGACACAAGGCTTGCTCTGCCATTCTGATACTGACTTTTTATATTTTACACTAAAATGACTGTTAGTCATCCATATGTAGACTTCCCTCCATATCCACAGGTTCATCATCCCTGAATTCAGTCATCCTCTGATCAAAAACATTGGGAGAAAAATCCAGAATTTTAAAAAGCAGGGCTTCCCTGATAGCTCAGTTGGTAAAGAATCTGCCTGCAATGCAGGAGACCCCAGTTCGATTCCTGGGTTGGGAAGATCCACTGGAGAAGGGATAGGCTACCCACTCCTATATTTTGGCCTAGAGAGTTCCATTGACTGTATAGGCCATGGGGTCACAAAGAGTCAGATATGACTGAGCAACTTTCACTTTCACTGAATTTGCAACATGATCATGACTATTTACATAGCATTTACATTGTATTAGACATAATATAATCTAGAGATGATTTAAAGTATATGAGAGAGTGTTCTTAGGTTATGTGTGAATACGCTGCCATTTTGTATAACGAACTTGCACATTTGGCTCAGTGTTGGGGAGGAAGCCACAGAAAAGGCTCCACCCCCTTGAAGACCCCCAATTATCCCTGCCCAGAGCCTGACACAGTTTCTAGTGCCTTCTCATTCTCCAGGGAATGAGTGCTTTGAAAACAGCAGCTTGGTGAATGCTTCAGCATCCTCTTTATAAGTACGGAGAAAATGAAGTTCCACCTTCCCCCAGCTAGGAGTTTTATCAGTAATGGATATAGCAGGAAGGAGCCTCAGCAAAAGAACAGCCCAGATGACTGTGGTGCCAGCAGCTGCTAGACTGTAATCCCTGGACAGGCCACTCTGCAAAGTCCCAGAAGCAACTGAGCACTGAGGTCCTGAGGCAATGTAGGTATAGGCTGTCTGGCCATAGATATTTAGATCAAGCTATTAAAGAAAGTATTCTAAGATTTAAAGAGGAACCTAAAAAAGATATTACCATATGGTCACCACTCATTGCTTTGAATCAGGGCTGTTTTGGTACTGTATCATAAGAACAAGATCCTGCAGGGGGCGGGGGCGGAAACTAGCTACTCATAGATATTCCATTTTGTGTGATATTACAGGAAAAACCCAAACTTTTTGGTCAAACCCAATATTTATCAAATCAGCCTTGATCTCATTGACTGGAATTTATACTTAAATACTATACACTAGAACTTGGAATTAAATCTTTACATTAAAATCATTTACCAAATGAATAAAAGTAAATGACCTTATATATATATATATATATATTTTAAGTACATATGTTTTACTTGATTAGTAGGTTTCAGTGTTTTTTGTTTTGTTTGAAAAATACACAGAAATGATAGACAATAAACCAGAATAGATGGACGATTGTGTTAACCTCTTTTACTCATCTAATGGTGGTAGTTTTGGCTATGGCCCTTTAACAGCTGCTAATTCTATAAAGCAGTATTGGTAATTAACCAGAACAGGAAAACAAACAACAACAAATCAATCTTATATAATGACATATCACCATCCAGGAGTAAGGTGGTGAATAATGCACATAGATAGAAAAGGGGAAAAATAGAGGGGAAAAGAGATTTCAAATAATTGATTGAAAACATAACTAAAGGTTAGCAGTTCTCCCTTCTTTCTTGCTTTCATTCTGAAAACGAAAGATTAGATTGATTCAAGCAGATATGCTTTGAAATGCCATAAAGAACGCCTCATCTGGTGCAGTATTGACAAGCTGCCTGAGTGTATCACTGGCATTTTCATTTTACTAGCCCAGCAAGAAGAATCAGGGAGTGGATTTTTACCTCCCTGCCCGCCTGCCTGTGAATTGCTTAAACAACTTCTGTGTGCACGTGTGAGCGGCTCCACACTGTTACATGCTGGGTTAAAAAGGTTCCTTCTCTGGGGCTCCAGTGGCTTTCCTCATCAGATGGATGGGAAATGCAGTTTGTGGCCAGCCGAACTTCATTATTTAGTTTACTGCCATCTTGTATCAAGAGAGCAACTACCGAGAAACGCTTTATGCCCACACCCCCATTTTCTTGGTGGGGGATTTATAGGTCTGTTTGGCAAAATCATACCGAGGTAGAGCAACGACATCTCTCTGTGTCTTCAAACAAACAGCCACCCCGCTGTCACTGATCAGCATTCATGGGATGGCGGTGATTGAAATTTAGCACTTAGAGCAACTTAATTGGCACACGGATCTGTTAACCATATGCCCCCACCGCAGGCCTGCCATCTGACATGCCCATAGGGCACCCAGCGCCTCGCACATGCTCACGTTTTGCTAAGAAAGTCAGTTTTGAACAGATCCTTGAAGGAAGTCTGTGCAGTGGTTAAAGAGAGGGGTGGCCTTAGAGCTCAGGTCCTCAGATTTGTGCCTGTTTTGGGGTGACTGTGGTCCTTCATCCCTTTGAAGTTGTAACAAACCTAAGGCATGGAGTTCCAGTTCTCTTGCTGTGAAAGAAGTGATCAGAATTCACTCGCCGGCACCTTTATCTTCAGTAAAGCAAGCCTTGTACTAGCAGAGTAGAACCATGAAGGATTCAGCAGCTCCTTGGCAGCTTGCTGGCTTGGAATTCAAGGTTAGACCATTCTGTGCTCACTGTGGCTGCAACTGATCCTTTGGCCTTCAGAAGAAATCCAAAAAATCAAAGTCAACATTTTTATGCTGAGTTGGGAACAGCAGGACTGGGCCGAATGTTCTAAGTTATGACTATCAAGAGAGAAATACGAACCTTAACAGAAAACAAGGCAGAGCTATTAGGCTCTTTTCATTATGTAAGGAGAGCAAATAAGGGCTGAGACCATCCATGGTTAGAAACACACTGCTCTGTTGAATCTTCCCCAGTGTCATGGCACTCCCATGCTTCACTTAACCAGGCGGAGCTAGGTCAGGGCTGCAGGCAAGAAAGGCAGCCGCTTTCTGATGCTGCCATGATGGACATGAGTTCTGGTGGGTCCTAGGCCACCAGGCCTTATCTGTATTTATGTTCTTTTCTGGCGTCAGGCAAAATTCTGGGCTCCTAGTAAATGCTTCATAGATGTTGAATTCTGAAAGAATGAGCTAAATAGTTTGAGTTCCTCTGAGTGAGGTTGAAGAAAAGCAACAAGTTAAAATTATAGGAAGATTTGCCGAGAAGCAAATGAAGCTTAAGTTTCAGTGTTAATTTTATAGGCCCTTTCCCAGGATGGGCAGATTGGAACTCATGACTTTGTATTTTGTTTCTTATAAAGAGCTCCCTAAATTCTCTAAGCTCTACGACCCGGGGTCCAGTTTTAGCTGTTTAAGGGAAGGCACTGGCAAGTGAAGTGAAAGTTACTCAGTTGTGTCTGACTCTTTGCAACTCCATAGACTATACAGTCCATGGAATTCTCTAGGCCAGAATACCGGAGTATTCTCAATTCGATCCCAACTCAGGGATCGAACCCAGGTCTCCCCCATTGCAGGCGGATTCTTTACCAGCTGAGCCGCAAGGGAAGCCCAGGCCCTGGTAAACCCTTCCCCAATCAGTGTAAGTGGATGCTGCAATAATTCATTCAATTATGTTAAGCGACCGTTAAAGGAATTCTAAGCCCTCCCTTGGGCCATTTCAGTTCTATGAAACTGTAATTGTTTGAAACTAACCGGGATGTCTTCTTTTGCCTTCAGGTGATTCTCATTTTGACAAAGCTGTATGACTATAACCTGGGGAGCATCACGGAGAGCTCGCTTTGGAGGTAAGGAAGTTGAGCTAATAGTTACTGTGTCATTTAAACATGATGCCCTCGGCCAGGCTGCTCCCTCCTCACCCCTGTTTCCTAGTGAGAAGGTTTCTGGTTATATGGACCCTTTCTTCCCTGTCTGCTCTCTGTTTTCCTTAACCACGGGTAGGGTTTTTCGGTTTTTGTTTTTTAACCAGGAAGGCCGGATCCTTTTTTTTCTTTAAGTTTTTTTTTCCATTTATTTTTATTAGTTGGAGGCTAATTACTCTACAATATTGTAGTGGTTTTTGCCATACATTGATATGAATCAGCCATGGATTTACATGTGTTCCCCATCCTGAACTCCCCCACCACCCTCCCCATCCCATCCCTCTGGGTCTTCCCAGTGCACCAGCCCCAAGCACTTGTCTCATGCATCCAACCTGGACTGGCAATCTGTTTCACACTTGATAGTATACATGTTTTGATGCTGTTCTCTTGAAACATCCCACCCTTGCCTTCTCCTATAGAGTCCAAAAGTCTGTTGTATACATCTATGTCTCTTTTTCTGTCTTGCATATAAGGTTATCGTTACCATCTTTCTAAATTCCATATATATGTGTTAGTATACTGTATTGGTGTTTATCTTTCTGGCTTACTTCAAAAAGAAAGAATCCGCCCGGCGGATGTCAACCTGAGATTCTGGATGGTTGACATCCGCTGGGCAGATCCTTTCTTTTTATAGACTTCTTTTGGTCACAAATCTTTTTGCTAAAGTGTTCATTAGCTTGTCTTTATGGGTGTTGGTTCCCATGGTTCTCACTGATTGTGAGCTTATTGGGGTGGAAATGAAAGAACAAGGATGTCTTTGCAGAGGGGATTGGTGTAACTCAAGTTCTGAAGAACCCAGGCAGACTCCCAGGGCAACACTTTCACGGCTGCTTCTGTGTGGTTCTGTGGCACAGAGGTGTGTACACACACATGCATGCGTTTATTTCTGGAATTCACGCTACTGGGCCATATATAGAGAGTGTATCGTGAGTGACTTTTCAAATGGATGAACAAATCCTTTAAGAGGGCAGACTAACTCACTGGATTTGGCACGAAAGGAAGTCCTCAGATACCCAGACAGTTATTCTGTCCTCCTTTATTCTTGAAAACTATACATTCTCTTGTTTCATTTGTTTCTTAAAAAAAATCTGCTTGATTTATCTCATTCCTGTTTGGCTCTTCTCCAGTAGCCTGTGCCACGTGCTCAAACCCGAACTAGTCCCTGAAGTCTCAGAGAGATCTTCCTCTGATTGGCCAGGCCCGGTTCACATGATGATCCCTGAGCCCGAGAGGATGGGGACAGACTTCGGAGATGATATTCACACATAGACACATGCACTCTTTCATACACATGCACACACAGAAAGGCAGGAGTGGTCTGTGGACAGACCAAAGTTAGTAGTGACCACATAAGATCAGTGGGAAGTTGCATTAACTGTCAGTTAGCAAGACCAGGGGAGACTGGCTGCTGGTGCTGAATCTCAATGCTGAGGTCTAGGGAGGAAGACTCCAGTCAGCCTGGTTCTCAGCCATTCCCCCTGCTCCCAGTACACTCAACAGTGGCTGGGAGGGAAAGCGATTTTCATGGTAGCACTTTGGTTGCAGGGCCTGCCTCTGTTGGGGAATGTGGTGGTCATACAAGAGGAGGCTCATGGATTGAATTCAGTTCAGTTCAGTCGCTCAGTCATGTCTGACACTGTGTGACCCCATGAATCGCAGCACGCCAGGCCTCCCTGTCCATCACCAACTCCCGGAGTTTACTCAAACTCATGTCCATTGAGTCGGTGATGCCATCCAGCCATCTCATCCTCTGTCATCCCCTTCTCCTCCTGCCCCCAATCCCTCCCA